AAGACACCTACATCTTGGATGCCTTTGAGGTAAGCTAAAACATACCAAAAATTACTTTCAAAGTGAACTATCCCTTTAAGAGCCTTCAGTGCCTGGCTAAAAAAGTCACAGTTTGGATTTAAAGAGGCAAATGCTTAAGAGTCTATGATTGGATCTTTATTGCAGTGATTGTTATGTTTCTAGCATGTTATATGTTTGGCAACAGTTCTTCTAATCCTAAATGATGGTGTGTGTACCTTTACATTTCATAAACAGTCAGGAAGCCACAACAGGATGACAATGTCAAGATTCATCAGACTCATATTGGGAAAGTATGGTTGTGAGGAGCTTGAAGAATCATTTTCACAAATGAATCATCTAATCTTAAACTCACTGGAAGTCTTTGGGATGTGCTGGAGGAGACTTTACAGAGTGCTGGACTCTTGCATTATCAATACAAGATCTTGAGCGAAAAATCTGTGCACCACTTGATAGAAATAACATCACAAAGTTTATTTATATATCATATATCATGGCTGGGCAGACTTGTATATTTACAGATAAAATGCTATTTTAGAATAAGTTGTTGTTCAAGTTATTTCGTATCTATTTTAGTGCAAAGTAGCACAGACTTTACAATTCAAAATTTCAATTCAATTCAAATGTATTTTTATAGCGCTTTTCACAATACATATTGTTTCAAAGCAGCTTAGAAAGTGCATTTCACAAATGTGCATGGAAAAACACATTTAGTTAATCATGTAATAATTTAGGGCACAACACATCGCCGGTGTTGAGTCGTCTCTTCACAGGTGTTTAGTCGTCTCGTCGCAGGTATTTTGGCATCTGAAGTCTCCGTGAGAGGCTGGATACAAACTGGAGCTGACGAACGCCATTTTTCTCGGGACTATTTATTACTATATTTATTTTATACAGAACTTATTTATTTCAATAAATTAAGGGGAAATTAATAAAAAATGCAAATGGCATAATTTGATAGATCTAATTTTATTGCATTCTTTAAATAGCTATGTTTCTATCCACCTATTTTAATGCGCGTTTTGGGATATCGTATTAAAATGGAAACACCAAGATGTGCTAAAAACTCTCCCTGAAATCCTAAAACATGAGTGTGCATTTATGAGTCAACATGTTAATCAGTGGCTCAAAACCCTTTTAGCAATGCTCATGAATAGTTAGGACTTGCCGAACTTAACAATGGAAAAATACTTTTACAACCAAACTGTGCAATTTCTTAAATGCAGTTCATTACAGAAATGGTACATGGAAATATTCTCTAGATGGAGGAGGGATTAATAGGCCTACACTACAGCTATAATACTACAACAATTTTCCATACAGTAAAATCATATCCGAATATCAGTGATTAAAGGTGTAAACTGCTGATACTGTGGCATCTTTTCCTCTTTAAATACAGTATGAACTAGGAAGTTCAGAGATTGCTTTAGTTAAGCAGTAAGCAGGTAAATGATTGTTAACGCCTCCGGTTTCTGGTCTCAGAGTAATTGTGTGCCAGTACAAAGTCAGGAAACCAGTCATTCCTGCACACACAGTCTGCATTAACACACACACACACACACACACACTGCAACAGCTTAGGCAGAAACTGACTTCAGCTCTGCTTGTGTACATAAAAGACTAGTTGAATCACAGACTAAAACACACACACACACACACACACACACACACACACACACACACACACACACACTCCTCTGACTAATGAATCACAGCATCTGTAGATCAGATATTACACACCAGAATGTGAAACCATCTCTATCATTCAGAGAAACTAGTCTATGGCCAATAATGGTAAAATAACAATGAATATATTTAATAGTAATATAATATAATTAATTAAAAATATATCCTTTAATATTAAATTATAATAATAGTAATATTGTCAGATTAGTATTATTATAAATCATTAAGCACCTAATCTCTTATTCTTAAAACTGTATTTTAATTATTATATTTATAGAAGTACATAAATAAAGTCAATACTGTAGTGTTTAAATTAAGGTATTTATACAGTGTAAAAAATATTGTTGGTTTAACTTTAATTTTAAGTTCATTGAAATGGAAAAAAAAACGAGTTAATACAATGAAGGAGATTGATTTAATCATCAGAAACTCAAAATATTATGTTATCTGAACCACATTAATTATTTAAGTTGATTTAACAAAAGAAAAAATGTTGTGATTACAAATCATTAAAATATTTTTTGCAGTGTAATATAAATATAATATAAAATGCTACAGTGTATTATCAGAGGAAAATCTTGAAGTTGTTTTAAATCTATTTGATTTTGTGCGAAGAAGCACTTCAATTACAGTAAACGAAGGAGCTTTAATTAAATATAAAAATAAAAAAAAGCTTTGTAAAAAAAAATGATGTGTAACCAGATGAATTTGTCCTTCTGTTTTTGTTTGTCTGCTTTAACACGTGTGTCTGATTTAACGGGATGATAAATGTTTCACACTCAAGCGCATTTACCATAAAACATGCGCGGGAAATCGAGAGTGTCACGAGACCGAGCCAAAACACGTCACGGGACAGCCGTGAGATCTCGCAGGCCTCAGAGGATATTTACATAAAAGGCAATGTGAAATATTTAATCTGAAACTAAATTTAACCTGTATCAATGTCACATGTAGACTGAACAAATTCAGTTCATTTTGGTAACATGGGCCAGAGCATGTGAAGTTGATTCTCACTTTATATTCAAGGCACACACACACACACACACACACACGCACTACTGTATAAGCATTCAAATTAAAACTGTCATGTAAAAGACATAACCATTAGAAACACATTAAATTATGGACTACAGAAAGTAGTAAAGAGGAAGGCTTATACAGGGATGAGGGGTCCACCAGGTCCTCTCAGGTCGTCTCCCATTGGCCCCGAGGGAGAAGGGGGTCCACCCTTAAAAGGCTGTTATGGCCTCTATGGATTTTAGCAATGACCCTGATGGAAAGAATTAAATGATATGCAGGTTTGGATATGTTATGTTAATTTAAAGGTATATGTATAACATCAGAAAAATAGGCATGGTTAGATGATCCACAGCAGGATTCGGTGATATGATTTTAGTTATAGTGTGAAATGAGCATGACAGTTGATATAAAGGTTGATAGAAGCGTTATTATTGCAAAAAATAAAAAATCACTATTTTGTAAAAAAAAATAAACTTATTTTATTTTTGCTAACATTTCACATTTTCATTGAATTTACCTTGAAGAATAGTATTACTAAATTTAAATAAACTAAATCTAATAAATAAAAAAAATTATAAAAACTACAGACATATTTAAAAATATATAAATTAAAAAATGACGAAAACACAACAAAATTACTTTAACTAAAATGTAAGTGAAAAAAGAAAATATAACTTTTAAAATATATAAAATCTAATTGAAAATACTAATAGTAAAATAATAATAATAAATAATAGCATATAGTCAACGATAGTAAAATAACACAGGGTAGAAGTGAATTATTAGCCATAAATTTAGGCCCATATAATTTAATAAAGTCATTTATCTTAAATATTAAATATTTGTGTTTACGTAATATATGTGGGTGCACTGTGTATAATTATTTTATATATATATATATATATATATATAAATACACACACATGCATGTATTTAAGAGAAAAAATATTATTTATATATAAAATATTTATATATAATATAAATTATATATAATTCTACAGTATATACATGAAATATTTCTTAAATATATACAAGCATGTGTGTGCATTTATATATATATATATATATATATTATACACAGTGCACCCACATATCATTATGTAAACACAAATTTTTATTTTGGATGCGATTAATCGCGATTAATTGTTTCACAGCCCTAATATATATATATATATATATATATATATATATATATATAATGAAATTATTGTAATTTTTTTTTATTTGAAGAATAAAAGATTATACATTAAATTATATAAAGATGACAACATACAGGGGTACTTCACTTGAATTAATTTTAGATAATTAGTTGATGTTTTCCGGGCTGGTCTGAAACCAGTTTCCTTTGGCGGCGCTGTCGTGCAAAAATATATTTAAACAACCGAAAACCGTCAATTTTCCATTGAAGCCACATTCTGATTTTACCAACACTTGGTTAGTTATTACAACCTTAAAAGCATGAAATTGACCACTTAGATTTTAGTCGCAAGTGAAGGGTTGTGTTTTTCTGGTAGCCTACCATCAGCCCAAAAATAAATAAAAAATTCTCTAATTTTCCTGCGGCTCCAGATTGTGTAGTCACATGACATACACGCCTCAAGTGATGGGTTTAAAACAGTCTGGCTGCAGAACTCAATTTTGATGAGCAAAGATGGCAGATTGGTGTACTTGGGGTCATTGAGATAAAAGGTTCTCCAGTTATTATAGACCTCCTTGGTTTCGGAAACAGCCATCATGTAGGCAGGGTTAAGACACAGAGGCAGGCATGGATGTAAAGGAGGGGTTAGATATGTTGATGATGGTGGTGGTGGTGGTAAAGTGGGCCGGGCCTCGCGCAGCTGAGTCCCATCTGAAGCACGGGTGCGCGCATTTAACATGATTGATCCGCTAATAGGACAGAGGAGCAGACGCACAACTTCAGCTTTAAATCTACCAACGGTTCCTATTTTCTCCTTTCTTTCCACTTCAACTCAAACGAGCTTGATGTGAGCGAGGGGGAAAAAACTCCAAAAATCACCTCCTTTCCCTTCTGTCACCCTCACAGAGCACCTCTCACCTTTACTTTCGGATTGTGGCTTTAACTCACGGCTTCACTGGGCACAAACGACACGAGATTCTCTTCTGCAACTTTAACGCACACCAGGGACAAAATCACCGACAGGGAAAACTGATTTTTTATTTTTCTGGCACAAAGAAGCGTTAAAGTTACACAATGAGTCTGAAGTCAGATTCAGAGACGAACACCAGTGTTTCATTAGAAGAGGAGGTAAGAGAAATAAACTCTTTTAGTAAACATAAACTTCATTTGGTGAAGTTCAAGCTTCTGCCGGCGGATGACTGTGGTAACTCTTTAGGCGTTTGACATGTTTTAAAACTCGCTTTAAAGGCGTTTCTGAGGCATGTTTGTTGCGGTTTGAGGAAAAACGTTTACTGAGGAAAAGCTTGAGAGGAATGCGGAGTCTGTCGATGATTAATCTTCAAGTTGGCATTGAAATGTGAGACTCACCTGATGAGACACACACTCTTGTGTGACTGACTGTGGATAAAGTTTAAAGGCAGATTTAACAAGCAAACACTCCAGTGGGTGTTCTTGAAGTTTTTCTGTCCTTTTTTTTTCCACAAACGCGCGCAAATAGTGACGTATACTGAACGTGGGTCTAAAAGACGCAATGTATCTTTTTAGAATTATTTTTCACTTTTAGTGATTTTAAATTAATCTAATTAAATTTTGCTGTTGCAGTGTAGTCGGTTATTTTTCAAGTTTCTTTTGACAAACGGATTATTTTGCGTAAAGTGAAAATCTTCGACCTGTCAAGACTAACGTTACCTTTTAAAGTCTTGAGGTAGAATTCACAAATATATTATACAGTGTAAAAATACAAAAAAAACTTTAACTTCTGTTCTTTTTCTGTTTGTTTTTCCAGTCTACCATCTCTGACTTCCGATGGAGGCATTATTTTTATTTACTTGAGACACACGACTAACATTTATGTAATTTAACATTTACTTTTTTTCCGGCAGATTGTTTTTAATTTGTCCTTTACATTAAATTATGCTTAAGTAATGTACCACTTGCCGTAAATTGAGTGAAATAACTCCCTCTGAATGGAAGTATTGAAGTATTCTGTATTGAATCTTGTTTTTGTTTTTTAGTGACATTCTACTGTAGTTTCTCCTGAGTGTTTGGGTCCTGTCTAGATGTGACCTCTGACCTCTTGTAAAGGCATTTCCTGTAGTTCAGTGTTTCACTTACACAAGACTGTTTGCAAACATTCTGTCAGAAAATATCATTTATGGAGTTTGTGAGGATGGTTGTGTAAATGTTCCTGTAGTTTAAGCTGGACTCTCGTTCAGGGTTTGGCGTGGGAGTTGCGTCCTGTCATTGTTACTGGGCGGCACTGGGTCAGTGTGTTTGGTGTGGTGCGTTCAGATTGTTCATTGTGTTCAAGCCTGAACCTGCAATATTTAGGACAGGGGTTTCCTCCCTCTGCGCTTCGACCACGTCCCCCAGACATGCCCTTTGTTTCTGTCCCGTTTTTCTGACCTTCAACAAAATCAACTGTTTAGTGCGCTTAAGTGGCACCGTGTCCCTTATTTGTGGAGTGTTTATTCCGTTTTGATTAAATTCCTGTGTTTATTTCCCCTCTCAGCTGTTGGCAGTGTTTGAGCATTGATGCTCGTGTTTCAGGAACATTGAGGATAAAGTTTATGCTGAGGGTTTTCGGACTGAACCGAGACCGTTCTCGCCTGCAGCCGTTCCTCAGAGCCGGTCAGGAAATGATGGCTTTCCAGTGGATGATGTGTTGGTGGAAAAGTGTAGAGGAATCTGACCGATGGACATGTGTCCAGTTATAGACTCTGATGCTTTGCTGTTTTAGCACTTTAATGATCCGACACGGTTTTATTGGTGGTACCATGGTGCTCAATCCTACCGTATTGTACCATGGCAGTTATATGATACTTCATGTTATTATCATGCATGTCCATAACATCATGGTATTATGATGCTTGTCAAAAAATTGTTGTTTTCTTTTTGTAGTTGGTGCAGGATAAAAAGGTGACTCTTTCCTTCCTAAACATGTCTGGGTCATTATAAATATAATTAATTATTTAATTTAATATTAATAATTTGATTAATGACTATTAATGAGACTACTTTTTTGCATTTTCATGATTTTAAATTTTATTTGGCTTTTTTTCTGCACTGAGTGATCGAAATGACAGGACTTTTATTATTATATGAATACTTTTCAACATTACAGGACAAATTGCTCTCGGTTTACACTGAGAATAATAAGACTAGCAAAACTCAGGGGTATTAATACAAATTTCATTGTTTTTTTTTGTATTATATATTATATTAAATCGAATCCATTTTGAAAATTATTGGAGTTAAATAATCCTGTAAAAAAACCCAGTAAACTACTGGCAGCTGTTGTTGGCAGCATCATACCATAAAAAAAAAATACGGTGTTACTGTTTTTGAAATTAACAGCTAAGTACTGTATTGTCAGCTACAGTATATAACTAATTTATATTAACACAAAAACGGTAACACACCGTTTAGTTACCGTATGATGCTGGCTACCGTAGTTTACTGTTTTTTTTTTGTTTTTGTTTTTTTTAACAGTATTTTTTTTTTCTAGTGTAAATTGTCAACAGACTCTTTTGTGGGGAATTTGTATTAGTCACATTAAAGAAAAAAAATCTTCTTTTTGTTTTATTGGTCCTGGACATGTTTTTGTGAGACTGAGCCGAAAACCAGAGTCTTTCAGATGGAGTGTGTTCCCCCTCTGAAGCGTTTGGAGAATGTGATGGGTCAGCCTCAACCAAAGTTCTCCCTCTCTCCCCTCTTTTCCGTAAAAGGTCATGGCACGCTGTGTCCTTCATCCAATCTTTCTCTCCTGCCCTCTAGATCTGGATAGAGTTGCTACATCTGTTTTTAAATGCTCGTTGCTTTTTGGGTAACTCTAGAATCTGTGATACTTAGTTTTAATTTGTCGGATAAAATGTGTTCTTGGAATCGAGGTCGCGTTTCTCTTAGCTATGTTCGTTCTTCGAGTAACTTTTTTTTTTCTTTATTTATTTGATTGCCCTTTGCTCTCTCTCTTTGTTCACTGTAATATCATTTGATCCATCCTGTTAATTTGCCGAGTTAAATTCGATTTTCTACCTTCCACTCACATTGGAGCAATGATGCTGTCCGTGGCCTGCAGAAGTCTCTGCATCCATGCTTAGGGTCACACACACTTGATCACCACGCACACACTTCTGCTCACTAAACTAACACGATCTCATGATTTTGATCTGAACACATAATAGCAAACTCTGCAGTCAAACGGGGAGACTCTGACACAATAGGAAGGGAGAGAGACGTTCAAAGGTAGTTTTCAACCATTCCTATTTTTATTCCTTTTCAGGTGCACATTTCTAAGACCATACATTGTCCAGCACTCATAGCTCAGAGGTCATGCCATTCTGTCTATCTGTCAGTCATGTCATTTAGGCATTTCCCTGTTCTAGGTACGAACACTCTTTGTTAGCGGGCTGCCTGTCGACATCAAACCACGTGAGCTTTACCTGCTCTTCAGACCCTTCAAGGTAAGACACGCCAGCCTGAGGGGGGAAAGCTGGACGTTTTGCTAGTCCTCTTTATTTGATTTTAATTTGAGAGAATCAAGTTGTCAGATTAATTCTGAATTTGTCCTTTTTATCCATCAGGGATATGAAGGATCTCTCATAAAATTGACCTCAAAACAGGTAAAGTTGAGACTTATTGTCCTTCCAATTATGTTTAAATTTAATAAGCATATATGTAAACCAAAAAATCAATGATATTTACATTAATATAAGTGTATTAAAAGATATAAGCAAAAAAAGTGTAAACATACTTTCTCAAAACTATTAGTTTCACTTTACACTTAAAAAATATTGTTGGTTTAATTTAAAAAATGAAGTAACCTGGTTGTTAAGTTTATTGAAATGGAAAAATTGAGTTAATACAATGAAGGAAATGGATTTAATCATCAGAAACTCAAAATATTATGTTATCTGAACTACATAAATTAAGTTGATTTGACAAAAGAAAAAAATGTTGTGATTACTAATCATGAAAATATATTTTTTTACAATGTACTAGTACTTTTTTATTTTAAAAGGCTAAATTATTTATTTATTTATTTTTTTTGCAAGAATATTAAACTCCTGTCCTCCTTGGATTTACCAAACACCCCCTAAAAACTAAAATTAAGTTAACAGAATCTTTTTCTGGACTTTAATAAAGTTAAATATTCGTATTCTTATCTATTTCTGAGGTATTTACATTGTAGAAATGTAATAGATAATCTTGAGTAACACTTTTATAATAATTTGAACTACTTTAAAAAGCGGACGTTTAGTAATGGACAAAGGCAATTTCAAGCAAACTGGAAAAACAGGGTATGTAAAATGTGTGAGAAAGTATGCGTTCTTATGTTCTTAGGACATCATGAAATGTACCCCAAATTTATTAGTTTTTAAATTATGCACTTTAGAAAGGAACGCTTAATTGTCATAAAATCTTGGCCCTAAAATTTGGTTTAAGTTTAATTCTATCTTAATAAATTCAAATTATATTCTATTTCAATATTAATACAAATCATATTTTTAACTTTTCTTTTTTTTTTTTTTTTTTTTGGAGTGAAATACAGTATAGCTGTACATTTTAAGGAGATCTATTTTCTAGTGTTGATTGGAAAAATTGTGTTTCTTTTCATTGTCTAGCCTGTGGGGTTTGTCACGTTTGACAGCCGGTCTGGGGCTGAAGCGGCCAAGAATGCCTTGAACGTAAGTAATCATTGGTCCGTCAGTAAGCTGAAGCGATGGCAACTTAATTATTTATGAGACACTGTGTTTTATGTCCTCCAAACTTCACTTTTAAAAGTCTGACTCAGACGCTGCTCTTCTCTATGGGAGGGAACTTTCTCTTGCTTACACATGTTGGTCCCTAAGAAAACTTCCATGACATCATGCGTTTCAGTTCTGGATGTGGATTGCTCTGGGGGCCGGATAGGGAAACCTGATGTTCTGTTAGTGTCCTATAGAGTTTAGCTCTGACTTACCTCAACACACCTTACATTTCCTTGATGTACCTTGATTAGATAATTCGGGTGTGTTTAATTGGGGTTGGAGCTGAACTCTGCAGGACAGTGGCCCTTTTAAAACGTATTCGGTCAACACGTCTAATCTGTTCTCAGGGCATCCGCTTTGACCCAGAGAGTCCTCAGACGCTTCGTCTGGAGTTTGCAAAAGCCAACACAAAGATGGCGAAGAGTAAACTGATGGCCACGCCAAACCCGTCCAACCTGCACCCGGCTCTTGGTGCACATTTCATCGCTCGAGACCCATGTGAGTAAACTACTGCCCACCCTGCAGAACATGGTGCCGATTCGCTATCAATCTCGGATTCAGATGAATTGGAAGTGTTTTGTAACTTGTCTTGACTCACTATTGATCAATTTAATGTCCTTGTTAAAGCATTACCATTCAAAAACCTTTGAATCGATGAGTGTCACAAATCGCGCACTTCATGCGGACTTTAGTTTTTGTGGACTTGGATGCGTGTTCGCCGAGTCTACGAGGCCGTCCCATTTATCATTTTAACGCTCTGAAGTGTGCTCAGCAGCGCCCCCTTTGTACCCTTGGAGCGGTCTTCCGCGAAGCCACGCACATTAACTACCCAGGAATCCTTGCGAAATGCCGATCAGAAAACGGATGTTATTTCGGTCACGGTTGTAACTGTAAACAAGGCTGAGAAGAGAATATTTAAGCATCATTATGGTTTTTATGACATAGGTGTACGTTTTATCAGTTGTTCGCCTACTTGTCTTCCAATTTATACAAAAATTATCGACCAGTGGTTGATATCTGAAACATAATAGCACGTTAAATAATACGATTGCATTGATTCATTTACATGAATAAAATCGAATATAAACGTAGTATGAATTTTGAAGCCTATGCATTTTCATTTTGTGTTAAAATTGAACGTTATGTATTCTGTACAACTGCATTATCGTTTACATAACCGTGACATCTATTCTAATGCCCAGGTGGCATATACAGTTATAGAACTGTAAAAGCAGGCTGTGTAGTTGACATACACATAAGATTTGGGAAAATAAAATAAATCCGTTTTTCGATGCTAAAGACAATTTTTTTTTTTTTTTTTTTTTTTTTTTTTTTTTTAAGTGATGCTTGTGATTTTTCTAATAAAGAGACTGACGAGATGACCTGTTTATTCAGCTCCGAATGGAAAAGGGATAAGGCTTTCATGAGGAACGCGTCTAAGCGCAAAAATGATTTCTCCGCATGAAAACACATCTTGCAAAAACGAAAGTAAAAACAACAATCTGCAGCTGTGGATCTGCACTACGTGACGTCACCGAAGTGTGGACTCTGAGGAAGTCCACAAGTCCAGAGTGTGCCATTTGGGACAAGGCCTACAGTATATTTTGGCTGCTGTAACGGGTCTCTTGAAGTGCGTCTGGTTCGGTGTGTGACTCAGATGTGTATGCGTTTCTGTAGATGACCTGACGGGGGCAGCACTGATTCCTGCGTCTCCTGAGGCGTGGGCTCCGTATCCTCTCTACACCACTGAACTGACCCCAGGCCTGCCGCACGCCGCCTTCACCTACCCCGCCGCTGCTGCTGCCGCTGCCGCCCTGCACGCCCAGGTGAGGGACCAGCCGGTGTGTTCCCCTTTCCTATGACTCTCTCTGCTTTCGGGGGGTTTCATGTTCAGTGTGACATTGCCAACACTTCTTGAAAAGTACTTCCATTTTGTTTGTAGCAAATCATTGTGCTTTTGTACTTTTGAAAACACAAACGGGGATTCAGTTCCAAAGTGACGATGTGTTTTTTTTTTTTTTTCTGGTATATCTAAATCTGGAGTTAGACTAGATCCCGATAAGTTCTAAAGGGTGTAAAAATTTATAAGAATAGTTTAAAACTCGCAATTCTGACTTTATATCACGCAATTCTGACTATCTCGCATTTCTGACTTTATGACACGCAAGTGTGACTTTATAACACGCAATTGTGACGTTATAACACGCAATTGGGACTTTATATCTCGCAACTGCGACTTTATATCTCGCAATTCTGAGAAATAATGTCAGAATTGTGAGATAAAAAGTCGCAATTACCTTTTTTTTCCATATATGGCGGCAACAAGCTGCCATAGATTCATGTTCGAACGGCCACAAAAGACCGTCTACTCTCCATCTGACCTGATGTGTGAACATAATGGAAGTGCGCTAGACAGATGGGATTTAAACTGTCGGCTGAAGACCAAGTTTGGTTTCAAGAAAACGTACAAAGCACAATGTTCTCTCACTCTCTCCGTTCCTAATTTCTAACACACTTTCTAGCGTTCGGCTGGTCTTGTGGCTGTCAGAGCAGAAACTAAAGCTGATGCTCGGTCTCCGACATATTCATTAATTGCGCAATTTTATTTTGTCCATTGGATAGAACGATCTGACGCACGTTTTACCGCCCATAGACCCTCCCATTCGAAGAAATCCGCACAGGTGTAAAACACAAGGTGTAAACTGGAATGTGTCTCCCTTCGTTTACTTGTGAGCCGATTGACCAAAAAACATCTAGGAGTAAACGGAGCCTAAAACTTATATTTTTTTGGTTTTTAGCATATTTACTTTTAAATCATTTGTATCCATCTAAAGCATTCTGGGTAAAGCCAAAGGTTTAAGGGTGTACCAATTCATGTCTTGTGTATTACTGTACTTTTACATTGTGAATTTGTTGTTGTTGTTTAATTAGAAGTGTCCTGTGCAATTGAGTCAGAAAAAAGTTGTCCATGCGTTGCATTGTGGGAGTCTCTATTCCACACCCGTAAGCTTTGTACAGTATACTGCACGTTTTGCTGAATATTTCATCCAGCAATGCATACTGTATACCGCAGCAATAGTAAGAGTACAATAGCATGCGCTTCAAAACATTAGCCAATGTTCAGTCTAACCGAACCAAGCTTACCTTTCCCATAATGCCCCTGACTCGCGCTCTGATGGAAGCCGACCCTGGGTCACATGACGTAGCAAAACCAGAGGTGGTGTCAGGGGTCCACTCTGAACATGACAAGTCTGATTACCCAGAATCCCTCAGAACAGCATTCCTTGGCCTGCTAGTGTTGCTGAGATGACATCAGAGAAAAGCTGTTTTTAATTGCGTCTCAGGTTGGATTATGACTTGGTCGCTGAGTGAATCTGTGCCCAGAGAGGTGCCGATTAAAGTTTGTATATGCAACAAATTGTATGATCCATTAAAAGCAGCACATGTTAATTTCTCCCACAAACACTTTGCTTTTAACTGCTCTTGTGGTTTATAAACGTTTTTAGATTAATTTTTACCAGTTTAAAACGTGTGAGGCTACTCGGGTAAATCTTGCGTTGTTTGCATGCATGTTTAATGTGACTGTTTATGAAGACTGTGCTTACTGCTTGACAGATCAAGTTTATTGATTGGATGGCTAGACTTTGTGGTTGTCATGGCAACAATCCAGTGAAAGCTGAAGGTCATGCATGTAGAGGTGTTACTTGAAGTCTCTTGAGCCGTATACTGTATGTTAACAGGTTCCTTAAAGCGTGTTTTGAGATGTAAGTTTAATTGTCTGATATCTTAGTTTTTAAGATTCCATCCCAAGAAAATGTTTTACTGCGGTGTTTGGCTAAGGCTGTGGGCGCAGTTTTTTTTGTCAGGATCTCAAAGGGGTTGTAAAAGGTTTCATCCTCTGGGTGAGAAAAAGAGCGAACGTGCTAATGGATCCACACGCTAACACATTCTCTGCCCGATGTCACACTTCAGAGTTTGAGTTTTCCATTGCTGGTTAGCTATTCAGTTTGTTGGTTTAGATAAACTAAAAATAACAGTAAGAAAATCCAACCAACATTTAGATTTTTTATTATTATTATTTCTTGTCATAATTTTTATTTATTTATTTTTAGCTAATTTTTGTTTAAACAAAAAGAATAACATTTAAATATATATTATTATTTAAAATCTATTTCTTTTTTTTTTTTAAACTATATTTTAAAAAAATCCTTTTTTTTCAAATTTTTTCAAAATTATGTCTTATTTTGGACTTTTTTTGGGGGGGACTTGTCATTTTTGACATGCTATATGGGTGACTTTAAAAAAAAAGAAGTTATTTTAAATGACTCTAAGTAATCTAATATGGTGCCACCATATGGAACTTTTGCAAACACATTTATATTAATATTCATGTTAAATTAATTTAAAGTGATCTATGCACCATATAAAACACATTATTTGAAACTAGTGTAAATGAACCATCAACAAACCAAAAAAAAAAACTAGATATAATCTAAAACTTAAAAGGGCACCATATATATTAGCACCATCTAAGTTTTAGATTATATGTCGTTTTTTTTTTTTTTTTTTTGGTTAATGGTTCATTTACACTAGTTTCAAATAATGTGTATGTGTGTTATGGTGCATAGATCACTTTAAATTAATTTAACAGAAATATTAATATAAATGTGTTTGCAAAAGTTCCATTATAAATGTAAAGGCACTCGTATCGTAGAATGACTAATTTCCTGCTTCGTCCAGCATTATTCAACTCAAAGAAAATAGAAAAGGAATTCCTTTGGCATGTTTGCGTGTAGCCGGGATGACGCAACTATAAGTCTGCAGTTAAACTGCTGGAAGAAAAGAGCACTTGGCTTTCTCTTCCTCCAGACCTCTCTAACACACACCTGCCGGAGTGAGATTACAGCTGTAATGCCTGCGCTCTGGTCAAACCTGACGCCTCGTAAATAGTGTGTGAAGTCCAGAAGTCACAGAAGGGCTGAAACGGACGTGCCAGGCTGATTGTGGTCGTTCTCTTGCCCTTGGCGTGGTTTGGGAAGGCAGGACGGGAAAGGAGTTAATGTCATCTTGCTGAAAGATGTTTATAGATGCACTGATAAGAGTTTCCTGCTCCGTTCATTAGCACCGCTAAAATAGCTGGACTATGAAGGTTGTTGTAGAAATTGCTCTCTCTCTCTCTCTCTGGGTTGTTGCCCTCTACATTGTTTAATGTAATTATTAATAATACAAAAATGGCTCTTGGCAGAAACTTGTATGGTTCTTTTGGGGATTTTAAAGTGTTCTGGTTGATTAAAGCGGCCTATTGGAAACTTCCCACATCTGAAGTGGTTTACAGGAGTCGCACTCAATTAATTGTGTAAAGAACAGGAATCATGGAGGATTTCAAAATAGAATTTAATGAAAGCCAAAATGAAGATTTAATATTGAATAAAATGTAGCGTCCCATTCATTTGATAAGATTCTGAGACGTGAGCGTTTGTGCTGTCTATTGGAAACTTATAGACTTGACAGTCTCAACAGAAAGCACTAAAGTTTTCACTAAGTCCGTTACATTTGAGGAATGCTTAACCCTAAAACCATATTCTGGACAAATGTGGGCAAAATAGTTTTGATTTATTTAAAAAAAAATACTTCCCTTGATCTGAGCGGTACAAGACTTGGCTACTTTTCGTAAGTTTGCCTGCTGAACACGCAGAAGTTTTTTGACTCAATTGTACAACGTTAAGTGGGTGAAAAATAAAAACTCCTTAATCTTGTATTTGGGTCAAAAATGGGCACCCATAGAAATGAATGGGAAAAACTGTAATTTAGAGCATTCTAAAATAAGACAAAATAAGACACCAGGTGACGGCAAAGTCTCCTAGAACTTATTGAAATAACATTTTAATGTAGTTAAAAAAAAATAAAAAATAAAACTACATAGTAATTAATTTACATAGAAAATATGGTACTTTTGAAGTAAATCAATTCAAAAATACCCCCAAAATAAAAAAACACCATAAATGGATAGACAACTTTATCGAAGACAGTGATGTAACATTTTCTAATAAATAAAAATTAGGATCACACCTGTGTCCTCTGTGCCCACATTTGTCCACAATTACAGGATTAAGGGCTATGAAGTGACTACGGTTTGAGGGCTACAAGCGTTAAGATGATAATGGTAAATGCATCAAAATGAGAAATGCATCAACATGATTTCTCAAAATATGATTACATTTGATTAAATTTATGTTTGGTAACACTTTACTTGTTGAAGGGGTGTGCATTAAACTAACATGACGCCTTCATAACCATGATGTATATTATGAATATGAAATTTATGAAGTTAAGTTCTTCATTAAGTGTCATTCGCTCAGTTATGCCATTTTTAATGCAAATATGACATTGTTTGAGATGTCTTTGTCATGACACCTTGACAACACAACCTGTCATAAACATGACATAGCAGATTAATTATCAACTTAAACCACCTACTCTAGCTTTATTGGTTAACGTTACATTAAACTGTCAGCTGGTTGGTTTTGACATTGGCTGTCATGAAGCCATTATAACTTTTTAATGACAAATTCAATTAGTACCACTGTAGTTGAGGTCACGAAAAATATTCATGACACAGTTATGTACAGCCAATGTCAAAACCAACCACATGACCGTTTAACCTAATTTTATGTCTTAATGTCATTTGCATTCAAAATGTCATTATGGAGCAAAAGACGCTTATAGTCATAAACATGCATAAACCCTATTTCATATTCATGACTCATGTCATGGTTATGAAGGTGTCATATCAGTCTTATGCACACCCCTTCAAGTAAAGTCTATCAATGATATCTAAACGATAAAACATAAGCAAGAAATATATTTTCTGATTCATCAAATGAAGTTAAACGTTTTAAGTGTACTTTATAATAGCATGTTATATGCACACACAGTTTAAATTCAGTAGTAATAGTCTTATTCAATAATGGACCGCAAATTGAGGCTTCTTTCCTATAATAAAAGAAACATCTGCATTGTATCAAAGATCTTTAATTGTTCTTGTTCCTCTTGCCTGTAGATGCGCTGGTACCCGTCTCCCTCTGAAAGTTCTCAACCGGGCTGGAAGTCACGCCAGTTCTGTTAAATCCGTGAGTATCCGTCACTTCTCCTCATATGGTCGCTTGTCTCTGAGTGTAAGCTAATAATAATAATAATGCTCTGCTCTCGTCTCCACAGATGCCGTTCCGTAACAGACGTTTAGTTATTTCTCCCTCCTGTTTGAATGAAGGACCACTGGGCTCAGCGTTTTAATTTAATCAGGTTTATTTAATGGACAATCTAAGCATGAAGGATTATTTCCTGGAGGAAGTCTTCTCTAAAGCACTCTGAGGACGGTGACGAACCTCACGGTACTGTCTCCATTTCAAAAGCTGCGCTTGACGAGCCAATCAGGCGCAGACGTTCAACATGTCTAGCTGCTCCTGTAGATGGTTTCTTTTTCTTTTCTTTTTGGTGTATCGTCATTCTGCATGCGATTAAAGTTTTAGAATGCAAACCTTTTAGTCCCAGCTTAACCCTAAAGGTTTTCAGCCTCTTGTACTTGCATTTTGTTAAAGGTGGAGACCTGAATTTGATTTTTGCAATCCAGTCTCTGTGTATTTTTGTTTCCTCTTTTAAAGAACTGATGACATGCACTGGGTGTCTTGTTTCCGTTTGTGATCCTCTGCCCTGAATTCCCCAAACCTCTGCTATCTGTGTTTGCTTGGCGAATATTTGAACAAAAAAAAAGAAATGTACAAGTATTTTTGTACACTAGTGTAATGAATATTTATGCATTTTTGTTTTGTGCAATTAAATGAGTATATATGTATGAGCAATTTAGTGTTCCCTTGTTATTTTTTTGGTGTTTTCGTTGGATGTTAATTCTGTCTATAACCTGTTTGAAGTGCAATTGATTTTTTTTTTTTTTGCTCTGTGTTACATACTGAAGTTTCCTGTGGCAGTACTGCGAGTTTAAACGGACTGCCGACATGAGATTGCTGTATTATAATATATAAAAAAAAAAATTAAAAATGCTGATCTTTTTTCTTTTTCAGAATGTGAAACTGGAGAATAAAAGGAAATCTGAGAATCCATGTTTCGTGTGGGTTCTTTAAATCCAGCTTTGAGTTTCCATTTAATAGCTTTTCCTTGTATGGGGTTTATATGAGGGGGTATAGGTTATTTTAAGGTGCGTATCTGCTCTCTCGTTCCATGTTTTACCTTTTAAGGCATCAGATCTTCAGCCGCTGAAGAAAAGCGCTTCATCTAATGGCAACAACTTAAGCTCTGGCCCGTGAGAAGCCCGTGTTTATTTGAATAGCGCTAGTTTTTTCAAACTACGTTTGAAAGTCTGGCTATAAAAGACTCGGTGGATGATTTGAATGGTGCTTATTTCAGAATGCATCCAAATCTGCTTCACAAAAAAGTGAGCAAGTGGAGACTATTGTAAGGGAAAACCCAAACCCATAGTCGAGGAGAGAGGATACCCTCCTCATCTGGCACACATTGAACTTGTGGGTTATAGAGCTTTTGTAGCTCCGCCTCTTTTCTGCACTGTCTTCCGGTTTGTATTTCCACAGTATGAAGGTAAGATCTTTTCCTGGAAAATATTCTTGGTTTAACAATGATCATAAGTTTTATTAACTCTACAATAAGTAAATCCACTTCACCAGCTAATTACTCTTCGATAGCGTTGCCGTAGAAATATATCCGGTTTTATTCAAGTGAAGAATGTTTATTATCACTGAATCAACAAATGCATTAAGTTATACATACCAACAATATACAATTTTATGGGTTAAAGTGAAATACAATTCTTTAAAGGGATGGTTCTAATAAAAATTGTTATTTACTCGCCCTCAAATTGTTCCAAACATGTGCGAGGTAATTTCTTTCTGCTGAAGACAAACTATTGTTGGTCCATATTTACTTTAATGTAATTCATACTATGGAAGTAAAAGTTACCCATATTTTCATGTTTGGGTGAACTATCTCTTTAAGATAATATTGCCAATTTTTACAGTGATTTTTTGTTTGCTTTGTAGACTAGTGTTCTCCCGAAAAGTTGACAAATGAATTTAAAAAGGTCATTAAAGTGTAAGTATTATTCAGCAAGGACAGTCTTTCTTAAAAAATTAAGCAGCTGCACAACTTTTGAGATGGTCCTCAATGCAGAACATGAAATCCAGGGGGAGGTTAGGCATACCCATCTCCGCCCCCTGATCCCTAACCCCACCCCTAATCCTATTCATCCCCGCCTCCTGATCCCAAACCCCACCCCTAATCCAACCCATTTCTGGCTCCCGATCCCTAACCCCACCCTTAATCCTACCCATCTCCGCCCCCTGATTCCTAACCCCACCCCTAATCCTACCCATCTCCGCCCCCTGATCCCAAACCCCACCCCTAATCCAACCCATTTCAGGCTCCTGATCCCAAACCCCACCCCTAATCCTATCCATCCCCGCCTCCTGATCCCAAACCCCACCCCTAATCCAACCCCCATTTCTGGCTCCTGATCCCAAACCCCACCCCTAATCCCACCCATCTCCGCCTCCTGATTCCTAACCCCACCCCTAATCCTACCCATCTCCGCCCCCTGATCACTGACCCCACCCCTAATCCTACCCATTTCTGCCTCCTGATCCCTAACCCCACGCCTAATCCAACCCATCTCCGCCCCTTTAACCCTAACCCCACCCCTAATCTCTGCCTCCTGATCCCAAACCCTACCACTAATCCTACCCATCTCCACCCCTTGAAAATTTTAAAATATGTACAAAGAGAAAAGTCATTTTAAAGTGTAATATTTCACAATATTGGTTTACTGTATTTTTTAACAAATAAATGCATCATTAGTTAACAGAAGAGATTTCAATTTTTTTTTTTTTTTGCTTTCAAAAACATTGTATCTTAGCCATCATAAAACAGAAGTTGAGAACTACAAAGATAAAAGATTGTGAGACATCCGACTGAATCGGCTTCTCCAACAAGAACAAATGTGGGGCAGGACTTTATTTTGTTCATCTGTATTTAATTAATTGGTTGTGGTTTGCCATTGGTCGATCTCATATGAGTGACAGTTTGCCCCGCCCTCATGACAGAAGACAATAGATTGCAAGAGGGAGGGGAAGTTTTAAGATTTGATTAAAGATTATGAGGGCATATGAACAAAAAAGATTGAATGTGCGCAGATAAATAATTTATAATAAAACTAACCATAAAAGTATAAGAACTGTCCATTTTGATTTCATGGAGATTTTAAGCAGATGTATTGTGTATTCTCCTGAATCCAAGAAAATATTGTGTGTTCCCTCTCACTATATCTGACAGAAGAAAGATTTATATAATAAATCTGTTTTTGGATGACTACAGCTGGCTACTTTCAGTTCTCATTAGAGCATCAAAGTAGGCCTATATTAAAACTTGAAAGAAATATCAGAAAAGACTCGCTTTACAGTAATTTATTTGATGAATGACCAGAAAAAAGTTTTCTGTTGATTCAGACAGGCTGATGATCTTTTGACCATGTTTGGACCTTTTTGTTTTCTTCAAACGTCCAACAGGACAGACTCTCCCTACAATTATTTTCTATTGGTCTGTTTCTATGACGGTCTTTGTAGAATGATGTCATGCTACTATTTTCAGTCTTTGTCTCTTCATTACATATTGGTCAAATTTGTCCCCAACAGTGCAAATATATTGTGTATAAATATAATTTGATGGAGCGCTGCCGCCACCTGGTGGTTAGAAAACAAACCTTAAAACATAAATCAAATCACACCGACACTAAACATTCTGGTTGGTTAAACTTAAAAAAGTAAGTTATCTGGTTGCCTTAAAATTTTAGGTTCATGGAAATTTAAGAGTTTGAGTTAATACAAGGAAATTGATTTGATATATATAAACTCAAAGTATTATGTTATCTGAACCAGATTAATGATCTAATTTATTTTGACTAAATAAAAGAGAAAAACACTATTAGTATTTGTATGTTGTTTCAATGTCAGTCATCATTAAATCTTTCTCAAAATGCAGTTGTTATTCTGTTTTGGTGTGTATGTGTTTGGGTACATTTAGGATACCTGAGGACATAAAATAAGATTAAATAAAGTATTTTAATTATTTAGTTCAAAAGTGATTCCTCAATAAATCTTTCTCACACAAAAAATAAGATTCTATAGCTAGATAAAATATTTTTCTGTCGTTTGTAAATCAAATCAAACCAAATAAATGCTTTCATCGCAACTGGGGGGCTGTTATGAGCAGGGACGAGCATAGAGGTGCTCGCCCACGCATGCGCGCGCCCCCGGCCCTGTCCGCTTCAGCAGCACCGCGTAAAGGGTCACGTGACTCAGTTTCGCTCCCCGCCGCTCTGTATCATCAGCAGCAGAGATGTCCGCGAGCTCCGCGTTCAGCGATGAGAAAGGAGGCTCCTCCGGCGAGCCCGAGTACGGACACGACCCGGCCAGCGGGGGCATCTTCTCCTCCGACTACAAGAGGTGAGACACACCGACTGTGCGCGCGGGGAACGCTCGCCACCGGGAGCGGCCCACCGAAGCGTTTAACGTACAGAAAATCTCAGACAGGGCGAGGTGCGCATGCGCGGATGAACGAATGAATCCTGTGGAAAAACAAAGAGATGATAAACAAGATTAAGTGTGAGATGAATTCGCGTGAACGGAGTGTGTATGTGTGTGTGTATGTTTATGTTATTCGTGGGTTTGTGTTTCAGCACCGGTCTGTGGACAGCGCTCAGGTCCCATATGATGACTACTGTGCTGCTTCACACTTCAGTGTGCCTGTATTAGTCGTTTTTTTGTTGAATTGATTGCTTTTTGTATTTAATATTTGTATGGCTACGGTTTGTCGTTGTTTTTACAGTTTAAATATAGCCCTGTGATCCTCATTCTCTCGCTATCCTTCAGGTTTAGCCTTGCTAGCATCGTTCTCTAGTCTAGCACAGCTCTTCGTCTACATCTGTTTCTGTTGGGATTTAACACGTTTACCCATGGTTAGCATTTCCATAAACACAGAGCGTTTTTTTCTGGGAACGTTCTCTGTTAGTTTGTTTTTTTGTTTTAACAAAAAAGTAACATTACCCCACATTGCGCAGATTTTATTTTTTCACATGACCTTTTTAGCTTTCCAGTCACTGTGGCTAGTGGTTTTCCAAAGGTACTAGCCACTTAGCATTTTCGCTAGCCACAATTTCGAAATCGATACCATTGGGAAAAACTGCCATACAGATATTTTTAATTTTATCTCATAATTTTGCTGCATGTTTTTAGGCTGCTGTCACTTTAAGACCTGACACACGGATCCATTACACTGTTACACATGTGTTTGCTTTCTCTGTCGTCAAGACCGCCATTTTGGCATTATTTTGTGTGTGTATTTGACTGTTTAAGTGCAATAAGCAGCGAAAACGAACTCAATTTAGTGCTGAGAGACGGCTTTATGTGCCACACTTTGGGTGTGAGCACAAAATCTGTGGGAACGAGTAAAATTGTGCGCAATACGTGCAATCTCGCGCTGAAATTCAAGCCCTGCAACAGCAAGAATATTCATCCGGAACAAATGAAATGAGTGAGTGAGAAGAGGTGGGTTTCGGAGAGATGAGCGAGAGAGCAGCTGGTATCCTATCTATTCTGTGGGAAATGAGTATTGGGAGCGTTTCAGACATTTCGGTATTGATAGTATCGAAAAATCTATTTTTTTGACAACACTTAAAGGCTATGTATAAATTTCAACCCGCATTTGGAGGGTTGGTGGTTGTTAATGTCAAGCAGAACATTCTCTAATGCTTTATTCAAGTTTTACAAGCATAAACTGACATTCCCAGAACATTCTGGGAAACAAAAATGTTCACTGAGATAACTCAGAGTAGTTTTTGTCCATGTTTCCACACTAATAATGTGTGATAATACCCTGTTTATTCATTCTTTACCTGTAGCACCACAATTGGAAGCACAAAATTACAAATGTGAAACTGTTGTTTAAATCTGGTGAACTATTTAAAGGGGTAGTTCACTTTGAAAATAATGTTTGATATGTTTTAGCATACCTCAAGGGCATCCAAGATGTAGGTG